GTGACCTGAGCCGAAGGCAGACGCTTAACGACTGAGCCACCCAGGCGCCCCAAAATTCGCAAAGTCTTAATAAGTTTGTGGTATATATGTATGTGTGTATATGCTTCTGTCTGAACCTTCATTCTCAGAGAACATCAAGGTCATTATATTTCTTTTCCTTGAATATTAGAAGGGCCTTTTTCTAATAATACATGAAGTATAAATAAGTACTCTTCTTTCTTATTTGTAGGAGCCCCTCAACAGTGAAGATGATGTGAGTGATGAGGAAGGACAGGAACTCTTTGATACAGAAAATGTTGTTGTATGCCAATATGATAAGGTAAGGATTTTATCAGGTTACTTACATTTTTTTTGTTGTAATTTCTTCCCTAAATATCTTTTCTACCTTGTTCAAACATTTGGGCAGCTGATGGATGCCTCTTATATTCAATATAAATAGGGTGAATGTAGACATTGTTATAGTTTAGTAGATTATTTTGGGGTTGTCCTTTAACATTAATAACCCAGTAGAATAACCCTGTTTTCCCTTTAGTTTCAACTACCCCAAACCTAAAAGGCTTTAATTGAATTTTGTCACTTTTTTTTATTACTAAGGCGAGAACTAGGTCAATAAACGGGACTGCTAACTAACAAATGATATGTTTTTACTGAAAATCATTTTTAAAATTATTTAGCTTTGCTGTATTTTTGGCAGTCTTAGGTATTTTTAAACTAGGCCTGTGAGAATTAGCTCTTGAATTCTTGTTTTCCTAATTCTTCAAAAGGAAGCTACTTGCCAAGTATTTTTGTTATTGTTACTGGCATTATTGTTGAGATTTTGTTAATTATTGAAACATTTAATTTGGAATAAAACTGTTTTCTATAATCATTAAATTTATAATAAATCCACAAATTATATTGCATTTATAATTTAATTTCAACAGTGGTCTTTACCAAATGATGAAAACCCTAACAGAAGCAATTGGGCTTTTTGTTTGTAAGCATACTCATTCACTAAACAAACACTAAGTGTCTGCCTGTGCCAGGCACTGGAGCTGTAGTTATGATCATGCAAATTTGTGCCTTGCATGAATTTCCTTTACAAATGATGAAAATCTTACATTTGTGTTGCTTTTATAGAAATGAATCTTATAAGTAGTCGTGCTTATTGCATATAAATAGCCGTACTTTTTGGAAACCTATCTATAGGGAAGTGTCAAAACAATTAATCTTATCATTTTGTAATGAAGAGGTAAAGTCAAGCCAGTTACTTGCAGTGAGATTACAGAATAAAGTCAGTGAAGTCATTCATAAACAGAATTATCAGAGCATCCACTTTTGTACTGTGTGACTTTTGGGTGAGCATTCTTAAAACCTTACACCAGGGACATTATAATATAATTTTTTGTTACACTTGTGCAATGGAAGAGTATTAATGTTAAAATAGATACCAATAAACCTTATATTGTCAGGAAATGTCAAAGAAACCTCATGCAACCAAATTAGCCAGAACACAGTTTTATGGTGACAAGATGTCAGATTCAGGCAAGAGAGACCTTTACCTTAGCTAGATTGAAGAATATACTTCTAAGTATTTTCATATTGTAAGAATGTATTGTATTCTTGTTTGGTATTGTATTCTCCTTTGGTACAAATTGTACACATAATATTTTAAATGTTAAAATTGGTTTGTTTTGCTCCTAAGACATTTTAATGTTTTAATGTTTTAGACAGAAATGGAAAACAGCTTTAAGTAGTGTGTTGAGTAACAAACACTTTAAAGTTCACAGAGATCTAATTTTTAGACCTTGAGAGCTTGTTTGGAGGTTCTAGCAGGGGAGCGCAGAGATCTAATTTTTAGAATCAAATGAGCCCGAAGTTTTTCTATACTTGCTTTTTGCAAATTGTCAATATAGGAGGATGCAATCAGTTTCTTTAGTTGTCTGGGGAATTTCTTTTTCCTGGCTACTCATCACTTTCTTGCTTATATAATCCCATTGTCTTTCAAGTTGGAGTCACTCGGTTCATGCTGGAAATCAAATTATGTACCCACTTTTCGGATAGTTACTACTTCTCTATAGGGAGTCAAAGAAAAAAGGAGACAGGTTTTTTTCATTCAACAAATAGAGTGTCTATGATGTACCAGGGCACTGCACTAGGAGGTTGAGATACAGTAGTAAACAAAGTAAAGTAAAACAATCCCTGCCATTGGGAACTTTAGTTAGGAAAACAAGAATTCAATAGCTAATTCTCACAGGCCTAGTTTAAAAATACCTAAGACTGCTAAAATGTAATAAATAAATTATTATGGTATGTTAGAAGCAGATAATTGGTATGGATAATTGGTAGGAAAGGGGACAGGTTACAGTTTTTTAAAAGGTTAGTCTTGTTAGATCTTTTGAGAAGATGACATTTGAACAAAGCCTTGCCTTGTCATTATCTGGTTAACAGAGCCTGCCTGTTTTGTGTGAGGGGTGGCATGGAGGCCAGAGTGGTTGGACTGGGAATGCAGGGGAAGGGATATAGTTAGTAGATTAAGTCAGTGGTAAGTGGGGCAGGTGGTATGGAAGTTTATGAGGACATGGGCTCTTATGAGCGAATTGGAAAGTTATTGGAAGGTCTCAAATAGACAGTTGTAGTATCACTTACATTTTAATTCTAAAAAGATTACTTTGTCTTCTTTGTTGAGAGTGGACTGTGTAGAGGAAGCAGAGTTGAAACAAGGAGACTAACAGAAGGATAGTATAGTAATTCAAGTGAGAGATAATGGTGATTTAGGCTAGGGGGATAGTATTGGAAGTGATGAGAAGCAGCTGAATCTTGGGTATGTTTTGAAGGAAGAGTCAGCAGGATTTTCTGACTCTTCCTGACAAGTGGTAGAAAAGAAAAAGAGGAATCAAGAATGATTCAAGATTTTTTGATGAGGAACCAGAAGGAAGAATGGAGATGCCATCAACTCAGATAGGAAAGGCTGAAGATGGAGCACGTTTGGGTGAGGAGAGTAATTAGTTTTGAACATGATAAGTTTGGTATGTCTGTTGGACATTCAAATTATCTATCTTAAGATGTTACGTTTAACATCTGAATCTCATAGTGTATTTTTAGACCAGAAATATAAGACCACTTAACACAAGAGTTTCTGCCCTAACTGCTATTTTAACTTTATTTTGCTGTATTTTCTTGTAATAAGAAGAAAAATTTGATAAATATTAAACGTGTGTATAACTTAACTCAGTGATGTAGAGGAAAAGCATGAGAGTAGTTTTCAAATACATAAAGTGTTGTTTGATTTTTTTTTTTTTTTTTAATTAAGTCCCAGAAGATAGAGCTAGGATCAGTAAGTGGAAGTTTGGAGGAAGCAGATTTCAGTAAGGGATGAAGTATGAAAGACTTATAAGAGAACAGGCCCAGAGTGGAATAACTTAATTTGCAGTTCTTTGTCCCCCGCTTCTAATCATACTCAAGCAGAAACTGAACAACAGCTTGCCAAGAATATGCCATGGAAATGTTTGTATTGGGAGGTTAGAGCATGGAATTTTATGAATGAATTCTCAGAAAATATCTATACATAGTGAGCATTTCTGGATTATTATATGAAATGGCCTGATTTAGTAAAAAAATGTCTTGGATTTGAGAATCATCTTTGCCACAAAATGCTCCTGGTAAATCATTGAACCTCTCCAAGCTGTGATTATCTTTTTTGGAAAATGAAAGCCGTAACTACTTGATTTCGAGGTCCCTTTAGATCAGAGAAGAGGGAGAACCATGGGTCCTTCTCTGAAGATATGGAGCTTAAGCTGAAAATTGAATGAAGCATGGGACTTATTGGGAAAGGGAAAAAAGGTCATTTCAGTTGATTAAGTTTTATAACTCCTTTTCTCCTTGAATCTATGAATTGCAAACAACTAAAAACTATAAATGAAAGTAAAGAGGGTAGTGCCCAGGGTCTGGCCCAATTTGAACACTGCCCTTCCCCCTTTGGCTTAATTGCAGATGCACATAGGTTTTGAAATCTATAAGTGACTGGATGATCAGCATTCCCTCAGATGTATTTGTTAAATACTGCCATGTGTAAGGTTCCATGTTAGGTCTTGGAGAAAACTATAAGGGGTTTTACTTTGGTAGAAGAAATTCTTTGTAATTGTATATACTTAGAAATGATACTAGAAATGTGTTTGGGAATGACACTGAAAATTAATTATTAGGAGAGACTACTTTTAGCTGATGTGATTAGGGAGCGCTTTGAGAGAACACAGTATTTTTGAGGTGGGTCTTGAAATCGGAATTGAATTTGTGAAAATGGGAGCAAGGAATGATACTTCTTTTGACTGAAATACAGTCTTTGAGGAATATGGAAGTAGGAAATAAGCTTGGTAGATGAGTTATTACCAGGTCATTTAGAAATAGAAATAGTCAAGCAGAGGGGATGGAAGGAAGGTGAGAGTGAAGCCTGGAAATCAGTTGGAAAGTTATTATAATAAATCAGGTAACAAGAGGCTGTTGATATGATAAACTAGAAGATAATTGGTGGCCATTGAGAAAACAGTTGCCTGGTGTCCTGTAGATAACTAAAGTAGAATTAGAGATAAAGTAATTAGAGGTTAGAAATATTAATATTAGTATGGATATTAACACTGTTGGACCATAGTATTAGAAGAGTTAGCAATATGGAAATTGTTACTGTATGTGAGGAAGAGAATGGTTGTAAACATGATTCCAGTATTGAGAATAGATAGTGTCCTGGTGGTCTAGATAAGAATGAAAAAAAGCCGAAGGTTAAATAGTGTAGACATAAAAGGAGTTATGGAGAAAAGGCAAAACAGTGGTCTAGAAGCATCAGGGAAAACAAAGGGTATTCCTATTTTAAAAGTTTGCCAGTATAAAATTTCCTGTGAAAAAAGGGACACATGTATATATAAACTTGGCAAAAATAAGATACTTTGCAGAGAAATGTATTATTAATGAACACAAGTATTAAGAACTGTAAAATAGTACTAATTGCAGATACATTTATTTCTTTAAAAACTCACCTGAGTGAATAGGATTTTTGTTTGTTTTTTGTCAAATTTAACTTTATTAAGAAACCAGTTTGGGGGTGCCTGGGTGGCTTAATTGGTTAAGTGTCTGCCTTTGGCTCAGGTCATGATCCTGGGGTCCTGGGATGGAGCCCCACATCGGACTCCCTGTTCTGTGGGGAGCCTGCTTCTCCTTCTCCCTCTCCCTCTCCCTGCGGCTCTCCCTACTTGTGCTCACTTGTGTGCCCTCTCTCTCTCTGTCAAATCAGTCAGTCAATCTTGTAGAAAAAAAAAAAGAAACCAACTTGTCAAAACAAACAAAACAAAAAACCAATTTGGCCAGCCACAATGGTATGAAACTAGAAATCAATTACAAGAAAAAAATTGGAAAATTCACAAATATTTGGACATTAAACAGCATGCTACTGAATAATCATTGAGTGAAAGAAGAAATCAAAAGAGAAAACAAATCTTGAGACAAATGAAAATAGAAATATAGCATACCAAAACTCACAAGATGTAGTAAAAGCACTCTTAGGAGGGAAGTTAATAGAGATAAATGACTATATCAAGAAACAAGAAACATCTCAGCCTAACTTTGTATCTCAAAGAACTAGAAAAAGAACAAATGAAGTCCAAAGTTAGTAGCAAGAGAGGAAATGACAAAGATCAGAGTGGAAATAAATAGAGAGTAAAAAGACACTAGAAAAGATCAATGAAACTAAGAGCTGGTTCTTTGAAAAGATAAATTGACAAACCTTTAGTTAGACTCACCAAGAAAAAAAGGCTAAGACTCAAATAAAATCAGAAGTGAAAGGGGAGTTGTTATAACAGATACCACAAAAATATAAAGAATCATAAGACTACTGTGAACAATTATTATATGCTAAGAAATTGGACAGCCTAGAAGAAATGGATAAATTCCTAATCAAAAACATTCCGACAAACCATCATGAAACCAGATGGCTTTACTGGTGAACTCTACCACAATAAAGAAGAAATTCTTCAAGAAGAATTAATACCAGTCCTTCTCAAACTTTTCCAAAAAATAGAAGAGGAGGGAACACTTCTAAACTCATTTTATAAGGTCAGTATTACCCGGACACCTAAACCAGACAAGGGCACCACAAGAAAAGAAAATTATAGGCCAGTATTCCTGATGAACACAGATGCCAAAATCCTCAACAAAATATTAGCAAACTGAATTCAACAATATATTAAGATGATCATATACCATGACCATGTACCAAGTGGGATTTATTTCAGGGGATCCAAGGATGATTCAGCATTCACAAATCAATGTGGTAACTGACCATATTAACAAAATATAAAAATCATACGGTCATCTCAATAGATGCAGAAAAAGCATGTGGCAGAATTCAACATCTGTTTATGATAAGAATTCAAGAAAGTGGGTATTAGAGGGAACGTAACTACCTCAACATAAGAAAGGACATACATAACAAACCTGCAAGTAACACACTCAAAGGAGAGAAGCTGAAAACCTTTTCTCTTAAGATCAGGACCAAGACAAGAATGCCTATTCTTGCCATTTTCAACATAGTATTAGAAGTTCTAGCCAGAGCAGTTAGGCAAGAAAAAGAAATAAGCACCAAATTAGAAAGGAAGAAGTAAAACTGTCACTATTTACAGAAGACCAAGTATTATATATAGAAGACCCTGAAGATGCCACCAAAAAACTGTTAGAAGTAATAAATTCAGTGATGTTGCAAGATACAAAATCAGTATACAAAATATGTTGCATTTCTATATGCTAATAATAAACTATCAGAAGGGGAAGTTAATTCCATTTATTGCATCAAAAAGAATAAAATCCAAGATAGAAATTTAACCAAGATGAAATGTGTGCAGTGAAAACTAAGACATTGAAGGAAATTGAAGAAGAAACATGGAAAAATATTTTGTGTTCATTGATTGAAAGAATTAATGTTAGAGTGTCCACTACTCAAAGTGATCTACGGATTCAACAGTTTTAGTGCAATCCCTGTCAAAATGTCAATGGCATTTTTCACAGAAATGGAACAGATAATTCTAAAATTCAAAAGACGCTGAATAGCCAAAGCAATCTTAAGAGAGAGGCATCGTGCTTTCTGATTTTATATTATATTACAAAGCTGTAAGAATCAAAACAGTATGGTATTTGCATGAAATCAGACATGCAGATCTATGGAACAGAAAAGAGCCCAGAAGTGAACCCAAACATGTATTCAATTCATTTACAACAAAGGAGCTAAGAATATACAATGGGGAAAGGACAATCACTTCAATAAATGGTATTGGGAAAACTGGACAGCCACATGCAAAGGATGAAACCAGACCACTATGTTACAACATACACAAAAATCAACTCAAAATGGTTAAAGACTTGAATGTAAGATCTGAAACCATAAAACTAGAAGAAAACATAAGAAGTAAGCTCCTTGACGTGGTTCTTGGTTGTAATTTTTTAGATTTGGCACCAAAAGCAAAGGCAACAAAAACAAAATAAACAGGACTACATTAAACTATAAAGCTTCTTCACAGCAAGGGAAACCATCAACAAAATGAAAAGGCAACCTACAGAAGAGAAAATATTTGTAAATCATATCTGATAGTTAATATCCAAAATGTATGGAGAACTCATACAACTCAATAGCAAAAAAGCAATTCAATTTAAAAAATGGGCAGAACTGAATAGACGTTTTTCCAAAGAAGACATAAAATGGCCAACAGGTACATGAAAAGGCGCTCAACATCACTATTCGTCAGGGAAATACAAATCAAAACCACAATGAGATATCAGCTCATACTTGTTAGAATGGTTGTTATCAAAAAGATAAGAAATAACAAGTGTTATGTGTGGTTGTGGAAAAATGGGAGCCCTTACACACTTTTGGTAGGAATGTGAATTGGTATAGCCACTATGGAAAACTGTGGAGGTTCCTTGAAAATCCAAAATAAAACTACCATATGATTCAGGAATTCTGCTTCCTTAATAGTTATTCAAAGGAGATGAGAACACTAACTCTGAAAGGTTTATGCCCTCCCATGTTCATTGCAGCATTATTTACAAGAGCCAAGGACAGGGAAGCAACTTAAGTGTCCATCAGTGGATGAATGATAAAGAAAATGTGGTATATATTTATATACACATGATATAATATTATTCAGCCATAAAAAAGCAAGCTTGTCATTTATGATAACGTGGGTGGACCTTGAGGCATTATGCTAAGTGAAATGAGAGAGAAAGACAAATATCATATGATCTCACTTTTGTATGTGGATTCTACAACAACCAAGCAAAAAAACCCAACAACAACAAAACAAAAACTGAACTCATAGATACAGAGAACAGATTGGTGGTTGCTAGAGGCCAGAGGGTGGAGATTGGGGCAAATGTTTGAAGGGGGTCAAAAGTACAAACTTGAAGTTATAAAATAAATAAGTCATAGGGGTGTGATACACAGCATGGTGACTGTAGTTAATGCCATATATACTTGAATACATACTTGAAAGTTGCTAAAAGAGTAGATCTTAAAAATTCTCATCACATGATGAGAGTGAAAGCTTAATTGAATAATTGAGGAACTCTTATCAACAGTGAAAAGCCTCTGGGTGCAAATCCAAGAATTTTGGAGACTTTGCAGCAGTGGCGGCATCATTGAAACAGTTTCATATCTACATTAGGGGAGAATGGCACTTCATTTGGATGCAAGTAATCATAGTCACTGCATGAGAGTCTACAGTGTGTTAGGAACTTCCTAACTGGTGCGATGTGCTCAGAAGATAGTCTTACACATTCCTGCAGAGAAAGATCAAGGAACCGTAAATTGCTTTATTTTGTTGTATGTAGGAAAATAAATGGTGGAATTGAAACATCTACAGTTTTAAGGGGGTCTCTGAAACTGGGCACTTGGAAGATGGCTGGACGTGGGTCTTTTTCTAAATGTGAAATTAATGTCAATAAAGTACTCTTCCGTTCTCAAAAAAAATTCTCATCACATGAAAAAAATTTGTAGCTATATATGGTGGTGGGTGTTAACTAGACTTATTTATGATCATTTTGTAATATATACAAGTATCAAATCATTGTGTTGTGCAGCTGTAACTACTGTTACATGTCAATTATCTGTCAATTAAAAGAACAATTTATAAATGGAGTAATGTACAAGACGAAAGATGTTTTGGTGTGTGAATGGGTTTTTTGTTTCCTCTGTGTCTTGATTGTATCTCTTACATTCTTTTTTTGTTTATTTAGATACACAGAAGTAAAAACAAATGGAAATTTCACCTCAAGGATGGCATTATGAATCTTAATGGAAGAGATTATATATTTTCCAAAGCCATTGGAGATGCAGAATGGTGAAGAGTTGGTTCTTTTCTTTTATAAATAAAACAAACTTAAAAAAAATTTAAAGTGGACAGTTTGAAACTTGGGACATACACCAACCAAAACTTAATTTCTGCATGTCAGAAAAGTGCAGTAGAATCAAAGCTACTGGAACAAAGAGACCTTGACAACAGACACTACTAACTGGCAAGCCATGGAACTGTAGCACCTGGGGTTGTTGGGGTGGGGGAGGTTGGGGTTTTGGAAAACCATAATTGTTGATTTTAAATACAGGTACCTGCCACCAGTAATTAGCATGTAAAGCTTTGTCTATATTCCTTCCTTCAACTTGGGTTCAATCAGAAGATACTTGTTGGAACGAACTGAAGAAAATTCCCTTTTGATAGATTGAACTGAAACTGCTTATTGTATGTGGTTATATTTGGTAAAAATTGCGTGTGAGCTTTTTACAAAAGGGTAAGAATTGTGTTGAATTTTAATTCACTTCTATAAGGAAACAATTTAGAACTCTCGTTGTAAGTCTTAAATATTTTTACTAGCTATTCTCCCTCAGTAATATATACCTCTTCCTTCCCTGCTTTATGAAATATCTGTTTAAGAGTTAAAGGAAGTAATCAGTGAACACAGTTTGGAGGCAAAATTTGACCCAGGAATGATTATTTTAATTAGGTTTTCATACTTATTAAATGTAACTTGGGCCTCATTGAGTTGAATAGAATTAAAATGGCAGCTTTGGTTTCCTTACAGAAAAATATTTGTTTCTTTTAGTCCCATACCTTATAAAGAAACCCCAGAGTGGCTCCTCAGGAATACAGTTTTATTTCACAGAGGTACCATCTAGCTGAAATTATATACATAAGAATAGATATAGATTTTTTCCTGTTGGGCTGAAGTATATGCTTATACATATGTTTAATCTTTAAGCTAAACAGACATTTAGATAACATTCTGTGCATTGACTGAAGCATTGGGCAGGTAGTGAGGACCTGGATTTTTTTTAAACAGTTTAGTAATTATAAAAGTTTCTTGTGTTTACTAGTAAAGAATTTAAAAACTGTTCTAATTGAACAAATTTTTTTAATTGCAACTTTGTAATTTGAGGGAGAAATTTAGGGGTTAGAGGGGGTTGGGCCACTAAGTACATATTTACCTCTCTTTCATTTGGTGGCCCTTCCAGGCCATTGATAATGTAGACATGGGCTCCAGTTTGCACATTGAGAAGAAAGCATAGAAAATTTGACTTGTATATTAAGAATAATAGAAATGTAATATGTATATTAAGAATGCACAGCTCTGTATTCTATAAGGGGCTCTAAAGAACAATATGGCAATGCTATGTTCTGTGTGAACTAGTTGCCTGGGAGAACTGTAGGAACATTTGTCTTCATCTATGTTTTCTTATAACTAATTCTTTTTCATGGTCTATCTTGACAAAATTCACATGGTTTAAGTTACTTGTATATTGATTTTTTTTTAAGTCTTCCATTTTTGTCTTCTTTTTATTTGCCTTTGTGTGTTTCCAGAAATAACATATTAACACTTTACATTGCAAAGAAAAACTGTGAGCTATTATATGTTTAACACAAATCTAAAAAGGCTAATCAATTCTTTTTTTTTTTTTTTTTGCCTACTTCCCACCCCACGTACCAACTTGGTCCCTTTAACTTATGTTCTGAACTTTGGTGTAAATGATGGTTTCTAGCATGCTAGTAGTTAGGTTTTATTCAGATACCATTAACTGGTAATACGGTTTTAATTTTTACTATATTTAGTTTTTTGGAGGGGAGGTTTATTTGTTTACCCCACTACTCTCAAAGCACACACAGGTTTTTCTGTTTGTTTTTGTTAATGAATCTGGGAGAAGAGAAGGGAGGGAGTGAAATCAAGGAAGTCCTGTTGTTCAGTTGTCCTTCAGTATAGTTGCTAATAGGTTTATATTTACCCAGTGAAGAAGTCAACGACCTGAACTACCTATAAAAGTTTAGCAGTGCTGCAATGTTGATTGAACCCCTTTGGCTATATCGTAGTTCTTCTGCTACTGAACCTTGGATTACTATAGGATACACAGCTCGTGTTTTGGGCCCTCTATGTAGACAAACATTTGTATTCATAGTAGAATTGTATACTGGCCTGTTTTTATAATGTTATTTTCAAATAGGAACAACCACCGCTTTCAGAGTGACTCACTAGGGTTATTTTGAAGCAGGAAATAACCGTTTGTATTTGCACCTGTGTATTGCATATTAATTATGGCATACTTGGCAAATGCTTTTCTTTTACCTGTTAAAATTCTGAAAGCCGGTCCAAACAACACTGCATACCAAATTGTGCTCTTATGTATTAACTGCATCGTGTTCCTTTTTAATCAAATAGAATGTTTTGGTTTTATTATGGTGGCTTGCTATAAGAATGCCACTTGCTTATCTTTTACTGTACTTGAATTCTTAATCATGCTTTTACATTGTATTTAACAAATCATTTCATTAGGTTCCATAAACTGTCATTCCTTTGAAAAGGCAAGGATTCCCACTTTCAGAATTTTAAAATGAAAATAACATGTTTGTTCAAAGAGGGAAAATAGTTCAGACTTGGTATTATGAAAATAAGTAAAGGTTTCAGAAGAGGATTTGTTTAGATTTGCACAGATGGTGATGGCACCTTTTACTACAAAAAAAAAAGGAAAATTTACACAAAATTACTAGGTAAAGTGTGGAAATGTGTGCCTTTCAGTATATGTACTCTTTTTTTGGTGGTCCTTTGGAGTATCAGACCATTTGAATTGCCTGAGAGCACATTTAATTTCTGTGGAGAGCCACATTGGGCTAAAACAACTTTAATGTGCAATTAGTTTCTAGAGTAAAATGTCTGTTATATGAGGGGGATCTTTATATTGGGCTTTTATATTTTTTTAAATGTTCACATTTCTTTCTGTTAATTAAATGCCGTCATATCACATTTATATTGTTGCCTCTCTTAAAATCAAAGCCACCTTGATGTTATTCTTAGGAATACATCAGGATCTGAGCGGTGTGTATAGTGATTAAAATGTGTTCTTGAAGAGCATATTCTAATAGATTTTGGTTTTAGCAAGAACATAAAAATATAATAGCTTTTGTATAAAGATTTTCTTTTGCTATATTGGAAGTCAAAGATTTGGTTTTCTTTTTTCTGGCTTTTATGGAGGAATAAAAAAGGGTTGTCTCCCTCTAAGAGTAATTTTTGGTTACCTTACAGCAATAATGTCACCATTCTTTTCAAAAGGTAAATATGCCTTGTACAGGAAAACAGACATAATTTCCTCTTGGGAGTTCCCTTTATAACTTAGCATTTTCTTCCACTTGAGAAAATTCCTATATTTTCGGATTATTTCATCTTGAACTTTTTTGAACTTTTGTGCAATGGAATATTTTATTGATCCATCTTTGTACATTTTCATTTTATTTCATGTCTGTTTCCCATCTGAGTCAGCTATTTCAGATTTTGAATTCATTGGTTAAAGCATAGTTGCTTTAAATAGTTCCTCATGAGTTTATATTAAATAGTTTTGCATTTTAATCTATTATGCTATGGAAATTACTCTGAAGTTTATAATTCCCTTTTTAAGCCTGCCTTAGCCTATCTTTTGTCATTTTTTATGATTTAAGGAAGAACACACCAAACTTAATATTTGTGTTTATTTTGAGGAGCAAGAGAAACATTTTTCTTCTCTTAAGGGAAGGAACTGCATTGAATTAGTAACTACTATTTTAGTCAAGCTTCCTTAAATCGTTCCAGTATGTGTCAGGGCTACAATTTTGGGGGAGGGGCTAATCCTTTTGCTGTTCTGAGCTACTATTGTCAACTGCTGTTGTACATACTGTTATGTGTAAGGGCGTAAATATATTTATTATGTTTGTAAAATTCATTCTGTACAATTGCAGATCAAGGTTGCTCTTCTGTGATATACAGGATATTATGTTTTAAAGACCATCTTGGAATACAATTAGAGAACTTAGTATTTTGATGTACTAAGACCTATTTTAAGTTTAATATTTTACCTTTGCAAAAACTTTAATTAAAGATGTTATTTAAAAAAGAGTAAAATGTTGCTTGCTTTGCTAGTGTATAAGACTTTTATATAGGTAACTAACTAAAACTATACAATTTAGAAAGGAAAGTGCTTACATTGTTAATAAGTTCCATTTATCAAAAGAAAAGGGCATCATTAAATTCTATACCTTCAAAATAAGTAGGGTGGGATGTCAATCTGAAATACTAAACTGTTACAAGTTCTTAGTAGCTTTTAAGAAGAATAGTCGTATTTTCCAGGCACACAGGAATTTATTTTTATTTTTTATTTATTTTTTTAATTTTATTATGTTATGTTACCATACAATACATCACCAGTTTTCGATGCAGTGATCCATGATTCATTGTTTGCGTACAACCCCCAGTGCTCCATGCAGTACGTGCCCTCTTTAATACCCATCACCAGGCTAACCCATACCCCCACCCCCTCCCCTCTAGAACCCTCAGTTTGTTTCTCAGAGTCCATAGTCTCTCATGGTTCGTCTCCCCCTCTGACGTCCCCGCTTCATTTTTCCCTTCCTTCTCCTGATATCCTCCATGCTATTCCTTAGGTTCCACAAATAAGTGAAACGATAGGATAATTGAGTTTCTCTGCTTGACTTACTTCATTTAGCATAATCTCCAGTCCCATCCATGTTGATGTAAAAGTTGGGTATTCATCCTTTCTGATGGCTGAGTAATATTCCATTGTATATATGGACCACATCTTCTTTATCCATTCATCTGTTGAAGGGCATCTCGGCTCTTTCCACAGTTTGGCTATTGTGGACATTGCTGCTATGAACATTGGGGTGCATATGGCCCTTCTTTTCACTACATCTGCGTCTTTGGGGTAAATAACCAGGAGTGCAATTGCTGGGTCATAGGGTAGCTCTGCTTTTAACTTTTTGAGGAAACTCCTCACTGTTTTCCAAAGTGGCTGTACCAACTTGCATTACCATCAACAGTGTAAGAGGGTTCCCCTTTCTCCACAACCTCTCCAACATTTGTTGTTTCTTGCCTTGTCAATTTTTGACCAGGCACACAGGAATTTAAACTGGGCTAAATTCACACCAACAAAATATAACTAAAAATTGATATAATTAACATATTGTAATAAATGAGTAATTCTACTCCAAAGAATAGATTACGTAGGATAAAATTATTTGAGGGCATATTTGTTTTTTAATTATTCTGTTTAGCTGAATCTTTTCCTTAGTTCAGAGTTTGTAAATAATTGCATAATAGGAGAACTGGATTATTGAGGTTTGTATTACGTATATATTTTGTGTTATTTTAGAAGGTATTAAATAATTGGCAGGTATTTTAATTTTATAGTTAATTCAAATGAATCATTAAGAAGGTTGTGGTTTTTTTGTAATTTTTTTTATCCTGTTACTACTTTAGGAAACCAGCGAATTTTAACCATTAAAACAATCATAAAGACATTTATTGCCAGCAAATCTTGTATTTTTGCACTTTAAGCTCCTTTGTTGATGACCTTAACCATTTTGGCCTCAGTTTCTTCATCTGTAAAATGATGACTGTGATTTTGAGGATTGAGGTATAATGCATGTAAAGCTCTTAGAATTGTGCTTGGTAGCAGCAAGCACTCAGATGTCACAAATTATAGATTTCGTAGTTATTTACGTAATTTGATTAGTGGAGCTGCAAAAAGTTTTTTTTTAATGGTGAAAAATAGCAGAAGAGATGTGATCTGATTAAGTTGAGGCAGTGAAAGATTTGGTTACAACTAAACAAATTAAGCCTGGGAGGTTGAGTTAGTGAAGCAGTGGCTGTAGCAGAAAGTGCCTGAGGGAAGAAAAGCAAAGGACAGGTATAGGAGAGGGTAATGAAACATGGTTAGGAGGCTTTAAGCTTTTCTTTTTTTCACCCTAAAGTAAAAATATTTTGAATTATAGGTCTAAAATAGGTTGAATTTTCCCAAAGCTAAAATTAGTAGATTTGCAGCATTTTTAAAAATTACACAATTTTCCTAAATGTCAATGGGTTCTTCCCAATTCATTTATGGAGAACAACATTGATACTAAAATATTGTTTTTTTTTTTTTTTTAAAGATTTTATTTATTTATTTGAGACAGAATGAGAGACAGAGAGCATGAGAGGGAGGAGGGAGGCAAAATCAGGTGCAAATGCCTTGTTTAGGAATTGAATTTTGGGGGCGCCTGGGTGGCTCAGTCCTTAAGCGTCTGCCTTCGGCTCCGAGCAGGGAGCCCGATGCGGGACTTGATCCCGGGACTCCAGGATCATGACCTGAGCCGAAGGCAGTCGCTTAACCAACTGAGCCACCCAGGCGCCCGATACTAAAATATTGTTAGGGAAAGATTTTGAAGCTCTGATTACCTCACCTTGAGTCTGACCTGAATCCTTCTCCTAGTGATTGTTGGCAGTCCTACTTCTGGAGGTAAATGGACTTTGTGTCAACCCTCCTACTCCTCAGCCAAGGAAGAGGCAGATATTAAGTAGTTGCTTACTTTTGTTTGTTTTGAAATACAGTTTTCTTAGTCTGAGAAGAAATTGAGCACAGAGCATATATTAACTCTCATTCAACTCACTCTATAGTGATTTCCCATGAGCCAGGAATTGTGACCAGTATTATTGGAGGACCCAGAGATGAATAAGACAATTGCCACATTTTCAGAGCTGTGGGTTCTAATTCTAGTGTAGATTGGATTAATAATGGTGTGAACTTGGGTGTGTTACCAAACCTGACTACCTTGGGGTTGTCATGAAGATGAGATAATGCATGTGTTGCATTTAACACAGTCCTTGGCACATGGTAACTGCTCAATAAAGGTGTATATACCCATGTATTTTAGTAAGGAATAATGGTCCCAGAAAAGATGTTAGTTTGACTAGGTTACTTATGTGTGTTTTCCTTATCTTCCTACCTTCATAGACACAGGTTAACAACCTGTGATGATGCCTCTGCAATTGAATTGAGGGATTCAGAAGACAACATTAGTGATTATGTTGGGCACTGAGTTTGTCAATAGAAATAGATAATTCTAGAAACTTAATTGTAGTTGTGATCTTCACATTGAAAATGAATTTTGCTTTCATGGATCAAGAACATTCTGAGTCTTCACTTACCTTCAAACTTCACCTTTCCGAAGGTTATGGAATTGCACTCAGTTACCTACTGAGTGCTTCTGGAATAGCCCTCTTCCTCAAACACAATGTTACAGAAACAATTCATTCCCATTTCTGTTTCCCTATCCAAACCTCGTTTACCAGTAACTACTGTTTTCCCACTCACTGGGATTTGAAACTTAGTGTCATCTGAACCTGTTTCTTCCCTAGTCTTATCCAATTTTAGTGAATAGCTCTACTGTCTACCAGGTGCTCAAAACAAAACCCAAGGAGTCAACCCTGAAGCTCTTCTCCCCTCTCCCCCCCACTTTACCACATCCAATCTATCAGCAAGTTTTGCTGTATATACTGTCAATATATACATTGACAACTTCTATTTTCCCTGGTATGTAGTCTAAGTCACCCCTAAATCAGACTGCCATCAACCAGTCTGACAAAGCTTCTTTTTCACATGAAGGGAGAAACAGTGGGTCAGTCTCCCTCAACTGGATCTCAAAGTGTCCATCGGAGGAGGGCCCCACCATGGCCTGTCTGTTATTCTCTTGCTGACCCTTAGTAGCTATGTCTCACTAAAGCCCATTAACTCATGTCCGTGTGGAATTCATTCAAAGTCCTGATGCATAAGTGTCAATCACATAGGGACCCATCTGACAACACAAGCATAAAAAATTCCTTTTTTTTTTTAAAGATTTTATTTATTTGACAGAGACAGCGAGAAAGGGAACACAAGCAGGGGGAGTGGGAGAGGGAGAAGCAGGCTTCCTGCTGAGCAGGGAGCCCGACGCTGTGGCGCTCCATCCCAGGACCCCGGGATCATGACCTGAGCCGAAGGCAGACTCTTAAGGACTGAGCCACCCAGGCGCCCCCAAAATTCAATTCCTAAACAAGGCATTTGCACCTGATTTTGCCCTTTGCCTGCAACACTCTCCCTTTATTTTTTATTTTTTAAAATTTTATTTTATTATGTTAATCACCATACATTACATCATTAGTTTTTGATGTAGTGTTCCATGATTTGTTGTTTGCGTATAACACCCAGTGCTCCATGCAGAACGTGCCCTCTTTAATAGCCATCACCAGGCTAACCCATCCCCCCACCTCCTCCCCTCTAGAACCCTCACTTTGTTTCTCAGAGTCCATAGTCTCTCATGGTTTGTCTCCTCCTCCGATTTCCC